CAAATTGTTAGTCGCTATTGACCCACCTAATAGACATACTGTATAACTAAATCGTTAATTAGCGGTATAGGTTATGTTGTAAAATATTTTGCTGAACTTAGGCCTTATTGTGTTCAAAGTATTTTCCTCATCTAAGGGGGGGAGAGAGGGAGGGAGGGAGGGAGGGAAGGAGGGAGGGAGGGAGGGAGGGAGGGAGGGAGGGAGGAAGGAAGGAAGGAAGGAAGGAAGGAAGGAAGGAAGGAAGGAAGGAAGGAAGGAAGGAAGGAAGGAAGGAAGGAAGGAAGGAAGTCTGATAAGACTTGTTCGCAACAAATTAATGCTGAATTCCGGTTATCACTGTATTGCATTCAAAGTGTTTATAGATCCGTTGTTTTATTTATCTTCTCAGATATCTTTCTGGTACCAAATGTCAGCTCTCCAAATCCTTTTGCCTCTTTTTAAAACAGAATCAATTACTTTCTTTAAATTGTCTTGGTATTTCACCAGTTCTCCGGGCTTTCTCACTGTTAACGGATATAGGTTTGGTCAAATCATTAGGTTATTTCCATAATGCAGGAGGTTTTTCCTTTGGCTTTGGAGATTTAAACTCTTTCACTCTAAATATGTGTCTGTTAACTTTAAGCTGCATTTCTACAGTATCCCTTCATCACATCCTCTGTAACTGCTTACTTGAACATACTGTATGCTGCTTAATGGAGAATACTGGAGAAGCCAAAAGTTTAGCTGAATAGTTTTATTTATATCCAGTAACTTTATTATTTTTACAGATAAGGGGGTGAACATAACCAACACTTCTTCCTATTTTCCTGAGAACTACCGTGAGGTGATGTGAGCGAAGAGTGAGTGATTGCCCAAGGACTTTCATATGGTTTTTGTGGCGAAGGCGGGGCTTGAACTCACAGCCCCTTGCTGTCTAAACCAGTGCCTTAATCACTAAACCAAAATGATTCTCCAACTTTGTTTAGGCTTTCCCCCCAAACCTAGCTCCACCTTTTTTTGTGGTTGTTGCCTAATGAAGCAGATTTTATTGGATTTTTATCAACTAGCATTTCAGGCAATTTTTTTATTTATTTACACACCAGCCAATTCTTGTTATTTGCAGATTTCATATTTTCAAATTTGTATGCTCATTAGAATGTATTTGTAACCATAAAATCAATATGGTGTGACATTTTTGCGATATAATGGGTTGTGAAGATAAATTTGAGAAACACCGGGAAGAGCCACAGCCAAGACAATAGTCAGATAAGAAAAATCTTGCAAGATTTTATTACTATAACTCTATAATAAAAATAGTTTTAATATCCATAATATTGGGGGCTTGAGTCTTTTCTGCTTCAAAATGTTGACATCACATCAATCTTGCAAATCTGAATGTGTCTCCCAGCTCCTTGCCTTCACAATAGGGAGGGTCAAGCTTGAGATATTTTCTCAAATTCCATTCTTGCTTTGGATTTATCTGATACATATATTAGTTATTATTATTTATTAGTTACTCAGATTTATCTGATCATTGCCTTGACTGTTGCTCTGTTTCTTAATCTCTGTTTCTTAATGTACATGTGGTCATTCATGGACATGCAGAATGGAGAAAAACTGGGTTGCCCAACACACTGTTCTCAGCTAAGACTTTATAAAATAATTACTGCAAGTAATGAGAATCCTTGGTACTTGCAATGTTTATCACGTTACCATTCAAAACAGCAGGCCAATTTGACCGGTTTAAGGCATACCTGATTGCATATAAGTCAAGCTGTTGCTGTTCTTCATTTTTTGATGTCTTCAAGGCTTGCATCTGTAATAGCTTTACAATGATTTTTATCAAGCCCTGGACATTCCTATCAAAAAGCACAGTAAAAATACATGTTCAGTCAACAGATTTCTACAAAAAGGGAAACATTTTCACGATGTCCCTTAACACCACTTTTTAGTTTGAAAGGACTTCCCAGGTTATGTCATTAATCAAACCATAATTCAACATAGTACTTTTTCATTTGGTTTGCCCTGATTCCGATAGCTATGTGCCCATTTTACATAGTAAATTATCTTGTAGGCACTATCACAAGACAGTCTTAATTTTGAAAGTATCTCTTTGAAGATATATAACAGGTCATATGTGCATATACCAGAGACTTTAAGGATTCATATAAAGGTCTCAAACAGTCTTTTCACCTACTTGCTGCACTCTTCCCACAGTTCTGGTCTTGCTAGCCACTTTAATCCCGAAAAATATTTTCTCGCATCAATTTAACATAGGAATTAATTAGTATCACCGTTACTTTCCATAAGCAAGCTACAGACTGGATCTTTTATCCTTTTCAAAAATCAGCACCTTTGAGAGCCATTTATTATAGATAGAAAAATCAGAAACTTAGACAAAAGTGGAAAAGGGAAGGGTGAAGGAATAAATAATCTTTTTATATAAATTGTGATTTTATTAAAGATTATAATTTCAACAGTAAAAGCTAATACAAACTGAAAATAGAAGAATAAAGATTAGAAAGATGCAGAAACAATAGAAAAAGATGAAAAATAGAGAAATTGAAAAAGTATATAGTGAAGAAAAATTTAAAAAATATAAAGTGATTTCCCACTTTCATCACAAGTATAAACCATTTTACTAACTTTATTTTATTTATTTATTAAATATATATGCCACCCATCTCACTGTTGAAGAGAAATTCATCACCTTCTCTTAAAATACAAATGATCTTTCTTCCCATAAACCTTCTCTTACATATAAGCAAATTCATGAAGCACTGTCATTTCAGTCCTGATGTCAGCAAAAAGCCCATTAATAATATACTTAGTTTAACCTTGATCAAATAAACCAACTTTATATTCCTTCCTTTTATTCCAACAATCTCAGTCTTTAGTCCCTTCAAGTAGTATCATTGAACCTGATTTTTTTCTTTGCTCCTTATCACAAAACTTTTCAAAATGTTAACAAGTTACTTTTTGTAATATAGCAAAATTATCAGGTCACTTTCTTCCTTTTGATCTTTCAATATCCTTTTTAATTATTAAGACATCAGCCAAAGTTTTGTATGTCTAGCGTAGCATTTTTTCCCATGTCATTCTTATAGAAAGCCATTTTCAACTCAGTCCTGCTCTTGTCTGGTAGAACTTTCTCCACTTCCATAAAATCTTTTAGATACTGTCTATCTATAGAGGCAGACACCCTTAAAATTAACTTCTCAGTCCATTGTTCAAAAGTATTTTTCAAAATGTTCAAATGTTTGCTTCATTCTATAATTGTAAATTGAGTTTAAATGTTCTTCTTTAATTGTAATTTTTAACTCCCTCTGGTTTCCCTTAGTATCCATTTTTTAAAATCTTCTCTTATGTTTTAAAATGAAAGACTTTTCACCTGGGAAGGATTCTTTATAATTAATTCCAAAATCTTACTGCAAATTTATCGGGATACTTAGCCTATTTGTAACGTTCTACAATCAAAGTTTTAATCATTCTTGCAGTTTAGTCCATAATTGTTTTTAAAGTTCATAAACCTTTTGTTAAAACTTTTTTCACTAAGGATTGAAGGAAAACGCACCCAATCCGAAGGTTTCTAATAGCTGAAAAAGTTAATAAACAATTCCCAAGAGTAATTAGAAAAGTATGCAAATCTAGTATCCTTTCAAAAAAAAAAAACATATACTGAAGACAAAGACAAAATGGAGACTGTCATCCAGCCTTCTAAAAGCCAACTGAGAGGGTGAACCCAAGATCTTGACTGGCTCCTGGCATCCAATTTTTCTGATTGTCCTATATATCATCCCTCTTCTTATACTGTGGTGAATTAGGGAGGTGTCTTTCTAAGCCCCTTTTATATATTTGATCTCTGTTGTGGACTTGTGCATTTCACCCCTCATCACTTTGGGGAAAGAGCTTGTGTATTTCCATCAATGTCATCTTCTTTACTCTCTACAGCCCATTTGATTATGTACTATTAAGTTGGTGTTGACTCTTAGCAATCACCTAGATTTTCTCCATGACGACCTGTTCCTAACCTAGTCCTTCAGATCTTCCAATAGTATATAAAACCATTGTAACAATGTCCACCTACTTTTCTGCTAGTTGTCCTCTTCTTCTCTTTCATTCTCAGCATTAAAGTCGTCTCCAGAGAGCTTGGTCTTTGCATAATTAATCTAAAGTAGGATAATTTGAGCCTCAAGTGCAATATCTGGATTATTTTGTTTGACGGTTTACTTGTTTTCTTGGCTGTCCACAGTATTCCCAGGAGTCTTCTTCAACAGAAAAGTTAAAAAAAAAACAGCAATACTCTTCCTGTTCTATTTTTTCAAAGTCCAAATTTTGCTTTCATACGGTGCCACAGGGAATATTTCTTGCACTATTCTGATTTTTGTAAGTATAAACACATCATAGCATCTGATCATCATTTCAAAGACTTTCACAGCTGCTCTATCTAGTCTGTGATTTATTTCTTGACTGTTCCTTTAATATTGTTGATCCTGAAAGGAAGAAACTATTTACCACTTAGATATCTTGTCAATTCTATGGATGGTTGTTCTACCTGTTGTCATTTGTTTAGTTTTCTTTATATTTAATTTCAGTTCCATTCTTTCCTCCATGCTTCTTAACATTTTCCTGAAAGACCTACCCCAAAAATAAGCTCTAGCTTGATTTTTGGGGGTGGGCCTAATATAAGCCATACCCCAAAAATAAGCCCTAGTTTTGGGGCAAGGCACACATCTAAAAAGCAAGCTAGGGCGGGGGTGAGGGTGAAACTGCCCCGCACACCCCACACCCACTTACCTTCCAGCCAGGTCTCTCCTCGCTGGCCCAGCTCTTCTTCTGCGGTGTCTTCTGCAGCCAGGCCTACATTTCCCAGTCACAGATTTTCCAGAAGGCCACTACAGCTGAGAACTGAGCTATGGATTCAATCCATAGCTCGGTTCTCCAACAGCTCTGCAGCTGAGGATCAAGCTATGGATTCAATCCATAGCTCGGTACTCGGCTGCATAGGCCTTCTGGAAAGGCCTGACTGCAAAATGCCGGCCGGAATGCAGCTGCAGAATGAAGCTGCTCCTTCGGCTGCAGAAAAAGTGGACTTGCTGGGCGGGGTTGTCGGTGCCGGAGGTGAGTATAAAAGACATCCCCCCAAAATAAGACTTGGTTCCTCTTTTGGAGGCAAACAAACAAACAAACAAATAAGACCCAGTCTACCTGGTGCCTCTTTTGGAGGCAAGTAAATACATACATACATACATACATACATACATACATACACGGTATTACTAGAGCTTGGAGATCCTTTGTATTTTTGAGCTCAGGTTATTGATATTTCTTCCTCCAAAGTAACATATTCACACATTCTTTTGTTTCCAACCCAGATTCCCTTAATATATGTTCAGGACACGGGTTGAATAAATGAAGAGATAGTATAAATGCTTATGTCAGTCTTACAAGGTAGGTCAGACTAAGAAACCATCATCAGGTAGGTTAGTACAATTTTTATTGTAACAGCTATAGTAACAGAATCTTGCAAGTCTGAATATGCTTCCCCCTCCCTCCCTTTATCTCCACTGAATTAGGGAATGGGCTTGCCAAGTTACTCTCTTGACACATATCAATCCCCTTTTATCTAACCCAGTGGTTCTCAACCTGTGGGTCGGGACCCCATTTGGGGTCAAACGACCATTTCACGGGGGTCGCCAAACAAGGCTGTCCGCCATTTTTCCCTTTTCTTTGGCCACGCCCCTGCACCCGGTGATGTATAAGTGGTTGGGGGTCACCACAACATGGGGAACTGTATTATGGGGTCGCGGCATTAGAAAGGTTGAGAACCACTGATCTAACCATTACCTTCCAACTGTCCTTCAAGGCCATTCCCTACCCTCCAAACTTTGCCTCACTTCTTTGCTGACCGGGAGCCAATCTGTTTTATTATGTACTATCCATACTGGGGCTTCCTGATCTGTATATATATTTTGCATGAGGACAATGAGATGTCCTGGGATTCCCAATTTTTTTTAATGCACATTCCACAGTTTCACATGGTGACACCACCCAAAGCCTTTCTACAAATCAACGAAGCACATACTGACTTCTTTCTGGTATTTTTTTGCTTTCTTAATTATTGAGCGTGCTCAGCAATATCTTATGCGGCTTAGCATTTTCTAACTTCAGCTTGAACATCTGGTATCTCTTTTTCTGTGTAGGGCTTCAGTCTGCACTGGATGATTTCAAGCATTATTTTGTTGACGTATCAAATTAAGGATATTGTACAATAGTTTGCATACTCTGTTAAGTCTCCTAGTTTCATATTGGGATGTACATTTTCCAATCTGTTGGCCATTGTGTTGTTTTCCAGATTTGCTTCATTAGACTCATCACTGATTTTGCTAACAGCTTGGTTAAAATCCTTACTGATTCTTCTTCCGTTGATTGCCATATTTCAGCAAGTTTTCCATCAGTTTCTGCATCTGGATGCTGATTTAATTTCATCTTCTAGTACTACAGTTTCTTATAAGTAGAAATATCTCCTACAATATCTTTGAGGCTGACAGCTTTACTGTACAGTATTTAAGGCTATTCATTCCATATTTATTTTTGAATCAGTTGAATCTATCCATTGCATCCTTTAGCATATCGATTTGAGGTTAGAACCCCCTTCTAGAGTTCAGAGGTATTTTGGAAGACTTTCCTTGTTTTCCATGTCTGTTTCCATCTTCAGTATCTTTACAGAAGTACTCTTAGTACTGCTTCTTGTCTCTTCCAACAGCTCTCTGAAATTGTTTGGTAGGTTTCTTCTTGAGATTTTGTTTTCCTTGGCTTTGGTTTCTTTTCTTGGTAATTTCCATGATCTGTTCTGACGTCCAATTTGATTTCTTGTTTCTTTATCTTTGGCAGTGTCTTTTCCCATTCCTCCTTAATAACTTTGTTATGTTCATCCTGTAGTTCTTCTAAATCTTCTGTCAATGAGGTTCAGGATTTCCAAGCAGTTCCTGATGTTCGCCTTGAAAATGGTACTTACATGCTCAAGAATATATTGGGGAAATTGTTTAGTTTTCCTCTTCTTCTTTAGCTTAACTCCAGCTGCTACCTTGACAAGTAACCTAGTTTTCTTTAACTCTTTTCGGGGGCTTCGATTACAGGTAGTGCTCGACTTATGACCACAATTGAGCCCAAAATTTTTATTGTTAAGTGAGACATTTGTTAAGTAGGTTTTGGCCCATTTTACAACCTTTCTTGCTTCAGTTGTTAAGTGAATCACCATAGTTGATAAGTTAGTAATCTGGTTGTTAAATGAATCTGGCTTCTCCATTGACTTTGCTTGTCAGAAGGTCACAAGAGGTGATCACATGACCCCCAGGAGAATGTAACGGTCATAAATATGAGTTGGTTGCCCAACGTCTGAATTTTGATCACAGGACCATGGGGATGCTGCAAAGATCATACTACGATCGTAAGTCATTTTTTTCAGTGCTCTTGTAGCTTTGAACAGTCACTAAATGAACTGTTATAACTCGAGGACTACCTGTATATTTTTAAGTCATACCCTAATGTACACTGTATGCCAGTAATACACAGCTAGAGTTTAATAGAGTATTTTAGTAATGTTTAAAAAAGAGATTGCTGTTTCACTGTGCTAGGTTGGGGGTGGACAGGGATGTATTACTAGTTGAAGCCAGGCACATTCAAAATGTACTTTTGTGAAAGTTAGAAATATGTTTTGGTGGTACAAATCATGGAATCTCTGACTATGAGGGTCAATGACCTTATAATACAGTACAGGTGGAAAACCAAATTACTAGCCTTGAGCAATAAAACAACCTCTATGCAAAGAGCAGAAATCTGTAGGTGATTACGCTTGAGCATCATTGCAAATCATTATTTTTATTATTTACCTATTTATTTTTTGCTATGCTACTCTGCTCCATTCTTTATCTAACTCCAATTTAAGAATACAACAGAAGAGGCAGAACATCAAGGAACACGTTTAGCTTTGGCAAACTTCCATAAAATCTGTTTGGGTTTGGGTTGAGCAAAGACATCATGAACACTGAATCCATAGTCAATTCAATAAGATCACTGAAGTCTCGAAAGAAATGGCCAAAAAAAAAAAAAGCATTTGGTAGTGTTTTCATTCATAACAGCAAAATGTTTGAATGAAGCTGAGAATACTTTTGAGCACTGTAAGAAAACTGTTATATGCCTGACAGCTTTCTTGGAGGAAAAGCATTGTTATTTTACCCAGGCCCAAGACCTACAGAGAGAATCACTGAATGGCAAAAAATAAAAATGAGAGACTGGGTTCCAGAGATTAGGAAAGACAGCTTGACTCTGAAGTCCAGTCACTATTTAGCATTTGGACACTCAGAAGTGAGACACTGGAGCAGAAAAGAGCAGAGGTGTCAGCCCTGCAAGGTAAGCCAGGTCAAGTAACAGAAACAGTAGAGATTCCTAGAATGCTCTTTATTTGCAAAATATCTGTAGCTCAGGCGTAGAATGAGGTGAAGGTTCATTCTCCGAGCTTGTGGGCTGGTTTCTGAACGTTTACCAGACTGACATCCCCTAAACTCCACTGAAGATGTTATCTAGCTTGGTAATGAAACGTTCAGAAACCAAACTCAGAGAACGAACCTTCACCCTAATGCTCTTTATTATAATAAGGTTAAAAAAAAAAACAGGATCTAGCAAACCTGTCCAAGTTTCTCCCTGCTGCATTTTATATTAAACAAAACCAAGGTAGAGTTATTTTGCATCTTTCTCATTCTTTCCTCCATCTCAGGATTGTATAATTTTTTTCTCCCTTAATAGCTCATTCTTTCCTTCCTCCATTAATGGCTCTTTCACGGTTTCCCCAGGGTCAACTTTACCTTTTTTTTTTTTTTTACAAGATGGTATCACTGATTCTGACCTACAAAATCAAGAGTTGATCTTCAATTAAATGACCATCACCTGGCTGAAGGAATGAGGCTGAGTGCTGTGTTAAGAATGTAGCCAAACTCTGCATGATCTTGTTTAACAAGCATCACCAGAGCCTCACAGCAGGTTGTCCGAACCATCATATTGTCACTGCAGGACTTTTCCCAGAGCAACTTTAACGCCGGGGTCTGGAATCAAAGAGAGAGGAGAAACAAGCTCCGTTATTCAGGACTGATGACTCATAAATTCAATTATTGTTCTCACAGCCATTCTACTTCAACTGATATCTGAGCAAAAACAGAGAAAGTGAAAGAATATTTCATTCTTTCTTCACTTGCCACTTGCTGAACATATAGTTAATTTACCTCAGATGGCTTCCTGAACTCAAGACTAAGTAAAATTTACTAATGTGATACAGAAAACTCTTTGACATGGAAGACTCCTGTTTTTGCTAGTTGTGTAAATGGAGAATGGCTTGAATATCAAATATCTCTCCCAGGACAGTATAATATATTAAAAATGTATTTTCAGTAGTGGTCTCATAATTATGGAAGTGCCTCATAAAAGTAACATGCTTCTTTTTTGTTCCTGTTTCTTTGCACTTAGAATATAAGTTTCTGGTAGCAAAAGAATCAGACATCTTTTGAGGAAGGCTTATTTTACAGTTTGCTTTGAATTTATTAGGACTGACATTTAATTTTGATTTAATCAAAATCGTAATTTAATTCTGAGATAGCTGGTAGTTGTCCTGTTGTAATTTTAATATTTGATACTTTTAAAAATATAGCTAAAATGCTTAACTGCACCTAACCATTTAAATCTGTCAATGGGTTGCAAGCATGTTTGATTATGGACTGAAGTGCCTAATGGAAACCATTTCTTTAATGTTTACTCTCCTCATTTAGAATTAGCCAAAATATTTCAAAAGTGAAAGTGTTCAGTATGGCAAATGTTCTGAGAGGACAAAATTTCTGCCTTTCTTAATAAAAAAGATGTTTCCATTTAATACTTAGAAAGATATCTAGTAGATAGTTTATAGTTTGCTACACTTTTTACATGTACAGTATGTATTCATTTTTTTTCAATCCACTGATATAGTGAAATGTCCACAAAATTTACATAAACAATTAACAGAAAAAGCCCATGACCAGTTCATTATTTCATTTTCAGTTGTGTATTTATATTCTAATGAGCATTATAATATGCATGAAAACAATGCTAGAAATGAAAAAGGAGGTGCAAAGAGGCATAGTGTTAAAAGGTTACATTAGTGCTAGGACAGTGGTTCTCAACCTGTGGGTCGGGACCCCATTTGGGGTCAAACAACCATTTCACGGGGGTCGCCAAACAATGGAGTCTGCCATTTTTCCCCCTTTTCCTTAGCTGTGCTACTCCCTTTTATTCTATTGGCTTTTGAAAGCCAATGGAATAGACTCTCTTGAATAGAGTCTAATTCTATTGGCTTTCAAAAGCCAATAGGAATTGTCCAGGCTGTCTCTGCCCTGCTGAGCCCGCCAAAAGTCCCATTCTGCAAATGGTGCTGCACCAGTTGAGTAGTCCTCGACTTACGACCGGTTGAGTAGTCCTCAACTTACGACCGGTTGGGGGTCGCGGCATTAAAAAGATTGAGAACCACTGTGCTAGGAGGACTCAGATTCTAGTCCATTGTCAGCTATGGATTTTGACATAATTTTGAGTCAGTCATGCTTTCTTAATTGTAGCTACCTCACAGGATTATTAAGGAGAGAAAGAAGAAGAGGAACTTCTATGTATATTGTCTTTGTCTCTTGAAGGAAAGCCAGTTATAAAGTGATCAAACAATAACTAAATAAAGCTGCAACAAATAGTTTTAGCTCCAACAATTCTAAATTTAAGTTCAGAAATGTAAGTTTTATTCCATTTAAATCTAATGAACTATTACACAAAGTAAACATCAGGAAAAAAGATAACAGAATAGGAAAATGTATTTTGTATCAGGACCAGATAATCTATGGCCAGATTTTGCAAATCTTTGGCACATCTTTTTTCAATTACATTACAGATTTTTATAAATCTCAGCATCTCTCAGCCAATATGAACTGAGGCAAATGAAACAAATTTCTATACAGATAGTCCTTGACTAACAACCATTCATTCATGCTTATGATCATTTTAGCATCCCTGGGATCACATGATCAAAATTTGGATACTTGACAGCTGGCAGGTAGTCTTCAAGTTACGAATGGAATGGAGCCTGCCCATTCCATCATAACTCGAAAACTCGTGGGAGTGAATGTTGTACCTCGAACAAGATCACTCCCTGCTCGTTAAGACGCACGCAGCTCGTTAAGTGCACATGAGGTATCTCAGGGTAGGGAAGGCCATAGAGGGCCTAGTGATGGAACAGGCCCCAAGGCCTCCCCAACCCACTAAGATACCTCACACTTCCCCCTCCCTTCCTGCCGAACCTTACAAAAACCCTCTCTGGTGAGGTTTCTTTCCCTTTGAAGGAGAGGAGAGTTGGCTTGAAAATGTTTTTCACAACGACAACGGGAGCTCCTGGGTGCTGTAATATCGAGTAGGTTCAAAAGAGATCATGGCCCCCAGAAGCTTCCATTTTAAGGGGGGAGTGTTTGCTTCATTTGCTTGCCTATGGGGCAAAGCATGGAATCGGAGTTGGCTGGGCACAGGAACCAATGCTGCTCGCTCACCTGTGCCGGCTTTAGTTTGAGGGCAAGAACGAAGCCTTCAACTGAACGGGGAGGCATCGTGGGGCAAGTCACCTTGCACCTGCCCATTCCAGACAGTGCATCGTTATCATTAGATAGTCTGATATTGTTACATACACCATTTCAATGTTTTTTTTCTTTCTCAGCGAAGCATTATCCTCTGGTTGTGAAAATTTAAAATTACCAGAATTGATTTTCAATCATGTTACACCACAAAAGCAGTTGTCAGGGCAATGGAGGAAAGAAAAATGAAAGCAAAGTCACAAACCTGGTTACTGGATTGGCTGATCTTGTTAGATAAAACATTTTCTTTCAGCACTGCAGCAATAAGATGGCCCACAGCCTGTGAATAAACATAAATTACTAAATTATGATCTTTATTGCAGCCAGCAGCAACCATGCCCTGCCCCTCCCTCCCCCAGTTATGTTAGTTGAACATCATCATCAAGGCTAAGGTTATATTGGGGGGAAAATAATTTATCAAACACAATTCAATAGTAGCAAACTTGATATTCTCTTTATCTTCACAGAGAATTCTGAGATATAACATCTTGGTGCTAAAAATATAGCTACTCACAACCCTAGATTGTCAGTACAAGTGGACCAGAACTTGGTACCTGAATCAGCATAGCAAAAACAATGTTTGTAGATGGGCCTTTACTTAGAAGTTACATATATGAGAAAGTCCTCAGCCTCATTTAAAAAGTGATTTAATAGCTGTTCCTAGTAATGGGAAAAATTCCTTCCTAGGGTATGGGATACTGTGATCTGTCATTACAGAATAAATGGACGAATAGCCAGATGAGTTCTATATTTCCTTAAGAATTTAGTAACTGTACTAAGGAAGTAGAATTTCTTATAAGAAAGCACTTCAGATGCATTTAAAAACATTTTTATTTTTTTTATTTGCACCTTATAAGAAGGAATGATTCCCTTATGGGGTTTAAAATAAACAAATGCCATCTCCCCCACCTTTCTGCTAATGCATGTAGGAAGCTGAGTTCTTCACCTTCTAAGTTTGAAGAAATTCTAATTAATTTATTTAGCAAAGTGTCAATAATTATGTCAGACAGGTAGTATATGAAAACATGATAGCTATATGAAGACATATCAAGCTGCTTATAATATACATGTCATATGGCTACTAGAAATATAATTATGCAGGCAACATTCTTGAGTAGATGTCAGCCTCCCTTGGCTCTCCAGACAGTTCTTTAATCCCAGCAGAGTAAACTAATGAAATCAGTGGTGCTAAGCTATATCATGGTATCAATTCAAAGACCACAAAATGCCCAACTTACGCAATGAATACAGGCAGGGATCTATTTTTCTAAAAAAAAAAAGTCCAAGTGAAAAATACTTGCAAGAACAGTATTACTATTTGAAAAATGAACAGTTCTAGTTAACACCATCATAAATCAGCAGAAAGCCTGACATCAACCTGGATCTTTTCTTAAGAATATTTCTTCATTGACATAATGGCTGCTCTCACTAATTAAAACAAACCACACAAGAGCCTATCTGTTGTTCGTACAGGGTGAAAACCAAGCAAATGGCTTAAAGAAACCTGATGTAGTCATATCTCTTGGCCAAGAGATTTTGAATTTTGGTTAGGAGCTTATCTGTCAATTCACTATTACTGTGCTTCAGCTGCCAGATGGCCATTATGAAAAGTAGAATGGTGCAACAGAAAGACTGCTAATTCTGATCTAACAGAATCTATTTCATACTTCTCTGTGAAAGAATTAGCAAAACTACTAACATATATTCTAGTAGTCAAACTCAACTTGTAGTGACTTTTAGGACAGTTCAATGAAATTTACAATTGGTAGCAATATATTAGTAGTAATAATGTAGACAAAACTATATTTGGACAAAACTCAGCAGCACTTTTTCGTGCGGCTGCTGATAAAAACAGGATCGCCAACATGATCACCAACGTCCAATAACGGATATGACATAATAATAATAATAATAATAATAATAATAATAATAATAATAATAATAATAATAATAATATAGAAGCAATTTCCCACCATCCCCAGTACCTTCTTGCATTTTTTTAATTTCCCACTTTCTTCGATAATCCTGGTAATTTTTGTGGTCCCTTGTTCAAATACTAATCTGTTCTATCTCTGCTTATTTTTTTAAAAACCAGCCACTATTGCCTAGATACAGCCAACTAGTAAAATGTAGTCAACATCACCTTTGTTTTGGCTGGATTAGCAGCTTGTTTTTTCTCATCCAGTCTCTAATGGCACTTTGGCAATACTCCAGGGTATCAAATACTTACTTGAAACGGGATAGTAAGGAGCAGCAAAGCAGGGTCTCATCATCCTGAAGACATCCCACTCAAAACTCTGGATAATCTTCCCCAGAGGTTTCATGTAAATAA